TACAAAAAGTGTTCACTGTCTAAGGTCACTCTAGTTACCTACTATCTTAAAAGAAGTAGATATAGGATAACAATATTAGTGATTTAGAAGAGAATAACATTGAAGTTGAATAAAACGAAATTATACAAAGTATACAAGATATAAGTTTTCAAAAATCACTTTCAACAGATGAAGAAAATTTGATTAAAAATTTTGAATTATTACTACAAGTTAAATTATTTAGTAAAGAAGAATTAGAAGTTTGAAAATTTGTAGATAAACAAACTCGTAAATATTCTCAATGTTCTAAAATATTTAAACCAACAACATTAACAACTTCTATTCGTAATCATTTACAACATCTTCATAAATTATTATTAGATCAAGAAAAATTAAATCTTGGTCTTAAAAAACATTCAGTAGCAATTTAAGCAGAAAAAACTCTAGCAATTTTTAAATGGATTATTTTATCTCTTAAACCATTTAAAGTAGTAGAAGAAAAGTCTTTTTATAATATGGTTCAAAAATTAGATCCATTTTATCAAATTCCTATTCGTAAAACAATTCATAATTTAGTTATTAATCAATTTAATCAACAAAGAAATTTGATAAAAGATTATTTTAGTAAAATTTCAAATAATATTGCTCTTACAGTTGATTTTTGGACTTCTTTAAAAATAGAAAATTTTATAGCTATTACTATTTATTTTATTGATAATAATTGGAAATTACAACATTTTATATTAGATATATTTCAGTTTAAAGGTTCTCATACTGGACAACTTATTGCTGATAAAATATATAATCTACTTGAAGAATTTCAAATTGAAACTAAAGTTATTGGATTAACAACTGATAATGCAGCCAATATGATTTCTGCTGTAAATTATTTACAAGATAAGTTAGTTTTAAATAATTTTTGTCATTATAGATGTATAGCCCATATACTTAATTTAGTAGTTTCTGCTAGATTAAATCTTTTAGATAATTCAATTAAAAAATTAAGAAAATTAATTAAAATTATTCATAAATCAACTAAATTTCTTGAAGATTTAGAAAATTTTATAATTTTAGATAAAAAATCTTTTTTAGTTTCAATTTTAGATTGTAAAACAAGATGGAATTTAACATACCAGATGATTAAAAGAACATGTTTAGTTTATGAACCTATAAACATGTTATTAGTTAAATATCCTAATTTAACAACTTATATACCAAACAAAGAAGATTGGCAAATTTATGAAAATTTAATTATATTATTAGAACAATTTAATAAAGCTACTATTGAACTTTCTTCACAAAAATATCCAACAATTGCACATGTACAAATAATTTTATTAGCTCTTAGAAATGATTTAGAATCTGATAAAGGTGAAAATTTTCTATTAGAAGAAGTTGTTAATGCTATGTTATCTAAATATATTGAATATTTTAATTTAATAACTGAATCTTTACATATTTCTGCTTTCTTAGATTCTAGATACAAAAAACTTTGTTTTCCTGATATGAGTATTGAAGAAATTTTATTATCAATTAGACAAAAAATTAATCAACAAACACCTTTATTAATAACTAAAAAAATATCAAGTTTTTATCAAAAATTAAAACATTCTTTACAACAAGCACAAATAATAGATGATGAAGTTCAAAAATATTGGTTATTTGCTAAAGCAGATGAAAGTATAAAACTTTTAGATTGGTGGAATACTCATACAGTAGAATATCCTGTATTTTCAGAACTTGCTCATAATTATTTATGTATTTAGGCTAGTTCAATTCCATGTGAACAGTTTTTTCAATTGCAGGTCAAATAATAAGTAAATCAAGAAATAGATTAAATAGTGAATCAGCAAGAGCATGTTTATGTTTATATAGTTGGTTATCAACAAATAATTAATAATTTCATTATATTTAAAATTATTTTATATTATTTATTATTTATTTATATTTTAAATAAGGATTTTTTCTATTAACATTTTCCTTAATAATTTATTTAAATTTTTTATTTTTATATTTATATAATTATTTATTTATTAAATATTTTAAGAAAATTAATATTTCTATATAAATTACTTTAAATTTTTTAATAATTTTTTTAAATTTTAATTAAAATTATTTCAGTATCTACTAATTTATTAAATACAAATTATAATAAATTTATTATGAAATTTGGATTGAAGATATCTCAGTACTCATTAAATCAAATTTGATAAACTATTTTTTTTTAATTATAGAAAGCAATTAAATTCAAAAAAAAACAAAATCTTTAATTTGATCAGATAAATGTTGAGATATTTTTGATCAAAATTTTTGTAAAATTCTAAATATTTATTAAATATAAACTGTAATAAATTTGTTTTAAAACTTTTATTGAATATATCTCAATACCCACTAAATCAAATTCAATGAATTTTTTTTATTTTAATTATAGAAAGCAGTAGAATTTAAATAAAAAAAATTTAGTAAATTTGTTCAAATAGATTTTGAGATATCTTCAAACAAAGTTTTTGTAAAATTCTAAATGTCTATCAAATATAAACTATAGCAAATTTAGTTTGAAACTTTAATCAAAAATATCTCAGCATCTACTGAGTCTATTTCAATGAACTTTTTTTTGTTTTAATTATAGATAATAACAGAATTCAAATAAAAAAAAATTCATCAAATTTGATCAGATAGATGCTAAGATATCTTCAATCAAAGATTTTATAAAATTCTAAACGTCTATCAAATATAAGTTATAGTAAATTTGTTTTGAAACTTTGATCGAATATATCTCAGCATCTACTGAGTCAAATTTGATGAACTTTTTTTTGTTTTAATTATAGAAAATAGCAGAATTCAAATAAAAAAAAATTCATCAAATTTGATCAGGTAAATGCTGAGATATCTTCGATTAAAAATTTTGTAAAATTCTAAACGTCTATCAAATATAAGTTGCAGCAAATTTGTTTTGAAACGTTGATCAAAGATATCTCAGTACCCACTGAATCAAATTCGATGAACTTTTTTTTGTTTTAATCATAGAAAGCAACAGAATTCAATTAAAAAATTTCATCAAATTTGATCAGGTAGATGCCAAGATATATCTGATCAAAGATTTTGTAAAATACTAAATATAGTTGTAACAAAGTTGTTTTGAAACTTTGATCGAAGATATCTCAACACCCACTAAGTCAAATTCGATGAATTTTTTTTTGTTTTGATTATAGAAAGCAGTAGAATACAAATAAAAAAAATGCTATCGAATTTGATCAGGTAGATGTCAAGATACCTTCGATCAAAGTTTTTGAACATCTATCAAATTTAAAAAGATCTTCAATTGATCGGCTATAGTCGGCTATAGTCGACTCTGAGTCGATAGTCGATAATAGCTGACCGATAACCGACCGTAACCGACCGAACCCATCCCTAATATAAACTAAGCCAGTTTATATTAAAATTTTAAACTAGTTATTTAAAACTTATAGCTTGATTTTGATTATATATATTAAAGTTTAATCAAACAAACTCAAACTTTCCAATCCCAATTTATATTAAAAAATATATACTAAAAAATATATAGTAATAAAGTTAGATTTATTAACAATATTTTTATTTCATCGGTAAAAGTTTTTTAATAAAAATAAAATATTATTAAGCTTGTAGTAATAATAAAATATTTATCATTATTATATAATTATTACGATCATTTTTTCCTATAATAAAAATATATAAAGCAAGTTGTAATTATAAAAATTACAGCAATAACACTACATACAATAAATATAATAACTGCTTTATGATTATCCGATACACCAATATTGTTATTAATCGATGCATCAATATTATTACTAACAGAAGTATATGAAATCCATGAATAATTTCGGGTGTCAAGAATATATATATTTGAATTGAAATTAAAAGAATCATTATTATATACGGGAATAATATCTTAAAAATTTAAAAAAGAACTTAGTAAATAAAGTTCATAATTTAACATCTAAATGAATAAATAATAAATACGATAATTACTGAATGCTAAAATCATGTATCTTCCTATTATAGAACCAGTATGATATGCGAGTATTGGTGGAATTTTAATACCAACCATTGGTTTATTAGACAACTTATAGGGGCTAACGTTCGTATCCAAAACAATTAATGGAATAACTACACTATTATTTGTTCCAATTCCACCATATATAATAACAAACCCATCAGGAGATAATACAGCCGAGTGGCTACTCCTATGAATTGTGATGTCACCAGTAACAGCCTAATAATTTATAATAATTTGTAATTTTAAGACATAAAGATCGTTTGACAAAAGAAGAATATTACCATAAAAGACCAGCTTCCATCAGTAGTGTTATAAGCCGTAATTGGATAAAAATTGTAGCTAGTGATCTAATGCATATGAAAATATTTTGTAATAAACAATAAATTAAAGTAGAAATAATTTTTAACAACACAATAATTTAAAACTCGTAGAAAATAAATTTGTTTAAATAATTACATCATTACCACCCAAATATAATATAAGGCCATTATTTAAAAGTACAGCACTAAAGTCATAACGTGAAGTTGGGGCGCCCGATGTTGTGACTTTTGGCCATTTTAGATTTAAAGAATCAAGTATAATAATATTATTAAGAAACGTTTCATTAGTAGCTGAAAGACCCCCAAACCTAAAAAATTTAAAATTATCAGAAAAAAGTACCAATTCCTCAATAAAGAATAAGAAGAATACAAACTAAAATATACATGTATATCTTGCCATTACTATCATTAACGGCTTGAAATTGTTTCCTACTTTCAGGATAGGTTCCATTCAAATCAAGCGTAGACCACTCTTGGCTTGTCGTATTAAATGTATATACAACAGTGTGATTACTTATTGCGCTATCTGGATTAGTGTGTTCTAAAAGGAATATGATATCTTTATTAGTGCCTCCTACACAGGCACTTGCATATCCTGAATTGGCGGGAATTGATGTATCTAAATAGATCCATTTTGGTTTCTCGGTGTCTAGTGGCGAAAGATTTACATCGAGATAAAAATTTTCTCTTGCTTGCTCGAAAAGACCACTACCAAAAATAAAGTTTATTTCCTACAAGAGCAGAACTTTGTCCATAACGTTCACCTGGAGTAAAACTTACTACAGTCGTAGTAATTATTAACCACAAGAAAAGATATTTTGAGAATTAGTAAACATTGTAAGTATTGAATGCAACGTACATATGTGTTAGTTAATTTTTCTTGCAGACCATTACAGTGTAATCGATTATATATTCAAAAATAAGTACGTAGGTATATAAAAGATTATGACTAAACGTAGTAATAACGTATCAAATTAAGTACCATTTATTTCCCGCAGCGGCGGGAATAAGAGGTAAATCCCCAGTCAGCCGGGGGCCCGAAGGGCCCTCGGTTGATTGA